AATCAGTACACGAGAATACCAAAATAAATACAGTCAAAAGTCTTTAATCCGGACTTCGTCAATTCCGGATTATTGGTTTTTCAAGATTATAGATCATCAGTTTAAATCTGGTAAGATGGCATGCAGAAATTATAATATTAAAAATATGAAGCTGTAATTTATGAAATAAAAAGCAATTATGATCTAAAGGATATCAAATTTTTACAAAAAAAAAAGCTTAATATTTATTTGTTTACTTTATTCAACATGCGCATGCGTAAAGCATACATTATGCATAGTCGAAATTAGAAAATTGAAACTAGAAAACTATTTGATGTGTATTCGTGATATTTATAATGATGAGGAATTTGACTTAAATCATATCAAAGACGGAGTACATCGAGATGAAATACTACATTTAGTAAGGAATTATAAGCCGAATAAAATAAAAACATCTGCCCTGAAGATAAGGATATTGCTGACAGATCAACTTCCAGTTCATTGCGCGCCGCCGATGTCCCCCTATACCCCTGCAAAGAGCAGCGTGAAATTGATAAACAGATTTCGGAATGGTTAGAGAAACAAAGGATATGCCTTTATCCATTTTTTTGCAGCAATTCCACTTTTTGTTTGATGGACATCAAAACATGCTTTTGCTTTGTAGATCCTTTGGCAGCTCCAGAATTGGAAATTCTTTTTGACATAATCGAAAGTTCAAGCTTACTTTTATAAAATTGCTCTAACAATCTGCAAAAAATAATAACCCAGATCCAATTAGAAGATTAAGGAACAATGCAATACGTTATATATACCGTTATATGTTATACATTAAACGCGCATGCGTAAACGCTTTATTCACAGAAAGTTTGTAGCTTTGAGGTCCAGATTAAAGACTTTTGACTGTATAATACAAATGCATAAACAATGAAATATACAAGTTAGATACATTATATACAATATGTACAAGATATTTCACATCATGGGAATCAAGAAGGGAAATTTGAGCCATTTGTGAGGTGGGCCGCTAGAGGTCTTCTGTTACTACCTTCATCCAAAATAATAGAATTTAACATATTGAGATATGAGAGCATTTAACTGCTTTGTCAAAAAAGTTTTCATTTAAGCTGTGCAGGTGTTCCTCCAAAGTGGTGATCCTTTAAGTCTTTATGCAGCGTGGCATTACTAATGTTAAAAATGTGCATGTTATCGTCCTTAGGACCTTATTCTGTATATAAGCAGCAGCTTGTGTAATTCGTTCTTTTTAGCAGTACACCATGCTGGTGAGGCACAGTTGATGAGTGGTCTAATGTTCATTACGTGGGCTTTAAACCATTGATTATACCAAATGCTATTTTCCACACATTAATTATATGATCCTTCCAGGTGAGTTTTTTTCGTTTAGGACTACTCCAAGATATTTGGCCTTGGTGACCTGAGGGACAACTTTGTTACACAAGTATAACTTTCTTTTACGTGGTGTATGTGTGTGCTTTCTACGAATTACTAGCAACTGACTTTTGCGCATTAATTGAAATCCTCCACAGAGTACACCATTTTTCCACCTCGGATATGATATCCTGCAGCTTTTTCACTGTATGATTCGTGTTAGCAGACGTCGTCTACGAAAGTTGTTCCGATCCAAGTGTGTACGCTGGAAGTTGGCAATACAGTAGATACAAAATTGCCTCTAAAATACTCCCCTGTGGTACACAGACATTTATTATCCTAGTACTCAAAATATCCTTTCCAATAGAAACGGAGAATTTTCTATTTGTGATAAAGGAGACAAGAAGCTCAGTTATTTCTTTATCAATGTAAGTTTAATAATAAGCATGAGAAATTAGCCCCTCATGCTTATTTTTAAGCTTACATTGATAGAGATCTTTATACCCATCAGAGACTCCATCCATTATGTCTAGCTGCATATATGTCCATGTGTTACCATTCCTGAACTTGGTCGATCTCCTGATTGGTCTTTCAGTCGGCTCTACCTCTTCATTTGGCCGATAAGCTAATTTTTCTCCACACCAGTGTATATACTCAGGACTTTGATAAGCCTTAAGCATGTGCGGGAAATAGTCCATGGCTTTAATCGTCGATCTCATGATACATAGTGAGTAGTATATAGTGGATACTAGCTAAGTTTTATGGTGATAGCTGTGAATTTGAAGGTTTTTCAAATATCCCAAACAAACAGCAAAATTTTCCAATTAATGGAACTTCTGAAGAAAATCATCAGTCAACTAATGGATGGCAAAATCTGCAATCCTGGTCCTACATGCAGAAAGTATCACTGCTGATATTGAAGATAGTGACAGAGAGGTTGGCGAGAACGAAATAATTTCGACTGAAAGTTAAGTGCGAATTCTCGATGTGGCAATTACAGGATTTGAACAAGAAATTATGTCTGGCTGCAGAAATAAAATGGAAGTATTATCACGCACACACATGCATAAAAAAAGGAACCAAAGTAAGCAACTTACATTGAAAGAAATGTTTAATAAAGCAATTACTACATTTAAAGTGATGATATAATAGCCAGAATAATCCCAAATCCGGAATCGCCGAAGTTCCGACGAGTCGGGATCTGACTGGATGTTTGTACCAATGTTGACTAAATTCATACGTATTTTCTAGATAACTTAAAATATTATCATAAAATGGACACATTTCTTTTATAAATTTGGTTTGGGATAGTGGAGGCACTATGAGTTTGTATTTATCACTAAGTATGTGCAATTTTTATCTTTTATAGCAGCAACTGTATAAAAAAATTCCAATACACATGAATTATTTATTTTCTTAAAATTCAAGAAGGCATAAGAAATTGTTGCCCAACATTGCTATACAAGTGCCTTACTTTCCTTATTACCATTTTCATTGTAGAAAAAATTAGGACAATCATATCTCTTCAAAAACAGCTGTCTTCGGTGAGCCTGGTTACATTTGGAGTTAATGAAAATCATGCTGTTGGAACACATGGCCATAAAATTTCATTTTATTCATAATCTACAGAAAAGGGGCATATGAAGTTGATGCCTTTGCACATACTGAAAACTGGCTATACAGCTTATAATGTAATTGTTTCAATATCGATAGCTAAATTTTCCAAAGCATGTTTCCCAACGTTACATAATATGCAATTTGATTAATCAGTTTTCACATTTTATTATTTTTGCATTTATGCAACTGATATACTGAGCATTTCTTTTTGATATTGAAATTATCATTCATTAATACTTATCATTAAATGATTATCAGCACTATTAAGATCTAAACTAAATGCTTTTGCACATTTTCAAATTTCATCTGGGTTCTCAAGAAAATTAAATGTTTTTAAAATTCCCCTGTCAGGATTAAGCTTGTGACCAAGTGATTAAGACCTATAGACACTGGTAGTTGACCCTGGTGAACAGGCTGGCTGCATGGATGTTTTTGTGTAAATCTCTAACACTTATACTTGTAAGAATATTTTTAACAAGCATTTCACATTTAATCCCTACCATAAAAAATACGATGCAATTTCTGAATAGTGTGATGCTAATCATTTATTTCATAACCTAAACTGGAATTATTCTGGCTGTGTTTAACACATTGATACACTACTGCCAATTCATAATGTCATGTTCTTTAGACTTACTCAGATGTACAGAATAATTGTATAACATTCTGCTTTGGTGTTTAGTTTCATTTTATTTATACCTTTTACCCTGAAAATCTATCTTCTAGTCAAACTGGAAAATTCCAAGAGAAATGTTAAATTGATTTTGGCACAAACCTACAATATGCAGAATTTGCTGTCAGCCATGTTAGTATCCGTTTGAAAGATATTTTTTCATTTGGTTCAAACACATTTGTGGATACTATGACGTTTTCTTCTTTTTTTGTCGGAATAAACCATTCAACTTTTTAATCAGAATACATTTTAGTGAAAGTTTGATGATCTGACAAAAATTATTGGAGTTTTGAATGAAAGTGTTGCCACATGTATCAAACTTGCTTGATCTTCTTGTACTCAGATTTTCACTTGTTTCGCTCTCTTCAAAATTTCTTTTGTAGTGTATCATTCAATTCAGATGAGGCCGTAAATGAGCACCTTGTTCAGCTGTTCGCTCACAATGCTAGGTTCTTTTGTGAATGAGGAATCACAAAGCTCATTAAAAGAAACTAAAACATTATAAAAAAAATCGGGGATGTATTATTGACGGATTGTTGTTCCTTACATAAATAAAGGAGCTTTGAAGAACACAGAAAAAATATGTCACGACTTTTCAGACAGTCTTATACATGTTTCGCTTTTTAGACTCAGTCCTCTTAAATTAAAAATAATTATTAGACTTTTAAGCTTTCTTTTCATATTTATAATGCTGATGCTATAATTCTGCAAAACATTTTTTTTGTATCTGGCCTGTATGATTTCCAATTTTCATATGTCATTATTTCTTCATATACTGGGTTATTTGTTTTTAATGTTTTTCGGACTCAGTTTGCTAAAAATTAAAAAAAAAAAAAAAAAAAAAACTTTAAAGCTTTTTTTTTTTTATGATTTTCAGTGTTATAATTTTGCAATTTTTGTACTATACAGCCTGTAAGGGTTGGAATGATAAAGACAGATTACTTTTGTTTGATTTTCTGTATTTTAAGTATTAAACTTTAATTTGCATCTTGTTGTTTCAGAAACACACTGATATATTTATTTTTCTTGTTGCACTAACCCCTGGTGACATCGTTGATGTGACAATGCAGTGATAGATGTAATTTTTTTTCCCTTTTTGGTTTTACGTTTTTTGCCTCTTTTTATGCGATTTGCCACTGTACTTTTTTTTCATATGATTTATTCCAAATTGAATATGGGATGTATTTTAAACGTATTATTTATTTTGCATTATTACCACCATTTGTTGCAGCTTTCAGAACACAACTAGATTAGGTTTTTGAACTCCTTTTTACTTTGCATATATTCATATATAAATATATGTGTGTGTATGTATGCACAGTATGAGCAACAAGCACACCAGTTATTTAAATTATAAAAGATAAGAGCTGAAGATAATTTATTTGAAATATTTACAGAGAGTCTCACAGTAGATTTTATTATTCTGACAGCAACAAATTTTCTGGATACCTTAATACATTATCAAAAACAAAGGTCACGGAAAAGCTCCTTAATAATGTTTTGGGTAGTCTTTTAATACAACACAGCCAATTTTACACTTATTATAATATACATAAATATATGTACATCCAGAGGGTTAAAGGAATCACAATCTGGAAAACTTGAGCTTGAAGACATTCACGATCTTGAGATTTTTTTTTAAACACCTCAAAGAAAGCAACTCCAATACTAGAAGAAAGGAAGAACAATCATAAAATTATTTTTTACAGAACTCTGAACATGAAGAATAAGCGAATTCTCATATGATAAATTCTAGTACAGTGTACTCTTGACTATCTGGTTTGTGAATTATCCATGCATGATGCTACACATTAGAGTGTGTAAAGAAACAAATGCATAATGTCTGAGCATGCTCTAAAACCTGCTGAACTTTGTCTTTAGGTTGCGTTTCATTGATTGCCTAGCACAGTTTGAAATTCTGGAAAAAAAAAATACAAAATTTGAAAAATTGATTCCCGGGCACTAACCCAGCATTAGCTTCCCGGGTATTAGCCTAGAAAACTGTATTGGACACCATGTAGCTATATCCAATAACAATGATCACGAAGAAAGATTTTTTGTAATACAGAAATTCGAGATTTATCCAATTATGAAGTTGATACAATAACTGAAGTCGTATGCCAAAAATTGAAAATGCTGATCGGGAAAACATCTTGGAATGGTCTGATAGTGACCATTCCACGCAACGGAGCAGTTGCTTGGAATGGTCGCTATCAAAACTTTAATATAATAGTATATATTATCAAACTTATATGGATATAATTTCAAATGTTTAGACAGAAGAGGCAAAGAGAAATACTGAGAACACAAGCTAAGAAGATATTTACAATTACATTTGCCCCGAAACAGCAATGTCTTCTGTTGAAACTCTACTGGACTTCTTTGACCAAAGGGTACTTGAATACAATGACAAAACAGCACTTTGAAAAATACACAGTGAATTTTGACAAATATTTAAACACTTTCAAAAACAAGGTAAAATTTCTGATTTTTGAGAAATAAACGTACATACAATATATAAAAAATTTGGATTATCCATAATCTGCTTCCCGGGCATTAACCTGGATAATCAAGAATACACTGTACTTTTATAATTAATTTTTCATTCACTTTTTTCCAAACTTGCAGTTCCCTCCAAAAAAAAAGCTTTACCTTTTCATTTAAAGACAGGGCAGCACAATCTTCCCTTATGAAAGATTTTGTATACTTACATGAAGACTGCAAATCCATAAAATCATTAAAAACTGACCTAAATTTACATACTAATATCAATGTAATATAAAACTATTCAGCAGAATTGCTTGCAATATTGTCTTGCATACCAGTCATAAGCATGAACAACTAAATTTGCATTTCAGATCAATGTAAGTGAAGAGAAAGGAACAAAAGTAGTATGGTCACCCTTCAGATGTAAATTACTTTCTTGCACAACAGCAAAATTTATGGCACAGGTTTGTATGATTAGACAAAATTTGCCTCATTTTACAAAAGTATCTGACCACACATGCTGGGAAAGCATTTTTATTTCTATCATATCCTAAAACAATGCATTATACAGTATGACAGGAGTACCATATTTCTTTACTTCTCAGTCATCTTCTGAGACATAATTTATAATAAATTCTTTATATCCATATATAAGAGAAAGATTATACCACAGTGTTGATATTTTCTATTACAGAATGTAATGTAGTATACACCATACAGTATTGTTAGTAATGCATTAGGCACAATTTATCAATTTAATACTGCCTATTTATACATGTTACACAATATCTTGTTTGATAATATAAGCAGATTAACATGTTTCCAGTAAGCTTTAGAATATGTAACCTGCACATACTGGGGTCATAACTGCATCAAGCAGTTTAATACATGCATGATGAGTCCACATGTTGAAACATAAACCTCATAGGTCCTCAACATACTAAGACGGTCTTAGGACAACAGTCTGTCATAATGTTTTACATGCACACTGTATCTCAGATACAAATTATACAGGATGCATAACAGCAATCGCATGTCTGCATGATGCATTTAAAAGTACACTCAACTAGATTAATAACCTTTCCTTTCTAGATATTCCCACACCAAAATAGCTGCATGAAAGTGAACCAAATGAGCCTGAGAAAAAGCAAATATCAGGTCAATACCATTGTAATGAAGTGGACCATGTCACATTATACAAGGTGTTGCTATTAATTTCCAGGACTGCTCTAATAACACCAGAAGAGATGATGTGAAAAATGTAACCTTTTAATATGTTTCGAAGTAATCCCCATCAGCCGTAATGCACTTCTGTGCTCGGCTGTATAAGTTGTGGAAACAACTTTTAAAGTCCTCTTTTGGAAGGCTCTTCAATGTCAATGTCACATTGCATGACAATGCTCGCCATCACATTGCGTTGCCAGTGAAGAGGTTTTTGTCCAAGAATGAGGTCGTGGAGCTGCATTATCCACCATACTCTCCTGACTTTTGGTCCCCGCAGACTTCTTTTTGTTTCCCAAATTCAAAACTGTGATCAAAGGAACATGCTTTGTGGATGTTGAAGATATCAAGAAGAACGTGACGCTGACATTGAAGAGCCTTCCGAAAGAGGACTTTAAAAGTTGTTCCCACAACTTATACAGCCGAGCACAAAAGTGTATTACGGCAGATCGGGATTACTTCGAAACATATTAAAAGGTTACGTTTTCACATCATCTGTTCTGGTGTTATTACAGCAGTCCTGGAAATTAATAGCCACACCTTGTACAACCTTCTTTGAGATACGATAGATGCCAGATGCTGATGCACGATACCTTCTTGACATACAAAGATACGTAAAATTTCTTGGAGTTAGCAGCACTTAGTAAAGCTAAGCACTAGTAATCACTGAGGAGAAGTTTTGAATTCTGCTCTTTAGTCTAATAGACATGTTTGGGGGGGGGAACAATAATCCTTCCCTCATATGTGCAGAGCTGATGGTACATAACTCCTAGTTATCCTGCATTATGCTTATTCTTATGAAGCTACTGTTATATATTCTTATAGCATCTATAAATTCTGCAGGCGACTAAGAAGATAAGCTTAAGTTAAAATGGTTATTTTTTTGTGGATATTGGAGATAGAGAGAGATTATCTACCATTAATAATCTCCTGGGATGATTAGATACCAAATGTTTACTAACTGTTCAAGAACACTGAAAATGAATGTTTACTAACTGTTCTTACATGATGAAATTATCTTCATAATCTTTACCCACAACTGAGATCACCAGAAACCCATAAAACTTTGAAATTGCAGGCCAAAAAGCATAATCAATTTAGCACTCTTCTTGATATTCTTCACATACAAATGAATTGTATGTGCCGGGTCATTGCCATGTTAATTTAAACTATTGCACTCTTTATCGCTGTGCTATTATTGGCTCTTTATGGCAGACTCTGCCTGCCAGAATGTTACTCTTCTGTCATCACGGTATTATTAGCATGTTTATACATCCAGCATAGAATATCCACAAAAACATAAATTGTCAGAGCAAAATTTTTAATGCTAAAAACATATAAGTTTATAGCTGAATTATTTCAGTATAGATCGATCCATTCCAAGATGTTCAATGTTTCAAACTTTTGCACAATAATGATAAGAAGCCATCTTAAATCTGTTGCTGCAAGGCCAGAGAAGTCACAATATGGATAAGAAGTAATTATAAAATCCGATGCTGCAAGGCCAGAGAAGGGTAGGGTACCTTTTCTGCCAGTTCCAGAAAGCAAACAAACAGAGAGAAAGGGGAGGAAAGATAGCTTAGAGGCTGTTCATTAAGATATCAAACTGCCAATTTTTAGTTATTGAATAAATATGCAGCAACGTTTTTAGTGAAACTGCAGATTTAAAATAGCACCATTTCATATTATTACTTTTTTTTTACTTCATTTTATGATCCCAGTGATATATATATATCTTATGTAGTATATTTTAATTCAACAAATGCAATTCAATGCAACAAATATCACTAACTGAACACCATATTATTAGTTTTTAAAAAATACTAATTAGCTTAAATCATCAATCCTTTTAAAAATATACGCTGCAGCTTATTTTTATAAAACATGTATGTTAATTATAACTTTAAATGCATTATAGTAACATCAATACTATGCATACTTTAATTAATTTTTACATTTATGCAATTTATAAATTACACTTACTTTTCAGCTCATCTTTACCCTACTCAGTCATCCAATGTAATCTGACCAGGACCATGATTTTTCATGTATCTCCTATAACTTTTATACCGTGCACTTTCAGCAAGTTTTGTTTTCATATCTTCCTCTTTTTTCTGCTTCCATTTCTGGTAGAAATTCATCATATATTAAATAAAATCCAAGATTATTTTTTTAGCATTAAACATATTTTATCAATCTAATAATTTATAAATATGATGCTATAACATGTATACTTATATAGAGAAAATTTGTAATTTACAAACTAGAAGTTTGAAAGAGTGGATTTTGAAAATATACAGATCATGGGTTATAAGCAAAAAGGGTAAAAAAAAATGGCAGTTCTTATACTTAATACCCAATGCAAGTATAATCTTCTAAAGTTTCAGGAAGATCCAAAATTTAGAACAGTTCGTAACTACAAATAATTTTTTATATTTAACTGTAACATAGATGTATAAATACTAACAGCTGTCTTGCAAATAACAGGCAGCAACTGTATGCAGAAATAGCCCACATTATTGATAATAATGGGCAGTAAACAGCAAATATTCGTATCTATTGTCTACTGCCAAACATTTAACTGCCATTTTACTTATACTGAGATGAATACTTCAAATTAAAAAAACAGAGTTCCTCATTGTTTGTTATCTGCATACATCATGGCGTCACCCCTTTTTTAAGCTGCAGACTATTAACTGCACTATTTTTTATTTGTTCACACATGTAACTTTAATGAACAGGTATATATTCTAAGCTGAAATATTCTAATATATAGTTTGAGAGGAAAGCGAAAATTATACTTAGGGACAGCTAATATGCATTTTCCCTTAAAACTAGCAATTCAGTCAGAAAACTGAAGAAAGGAATGAAGAATTAATACCAGTAGCCTAGTTCAGGAATATAAATTTCCAAGTTAAAATTCAGATAAAAAAATTAACTAGAATACTATGTTTGAAAAGCTTTAAGCTGAAATCATTTTAAATTCCTTATATTTATCGGAGAGTTTCATTATAAAAAGCTTTACGTTTGAAATTAGTTCATATTCTAAACTTGATTAATTTTTAAGGTGCTTTGAGTTCTATTTAAAATTTTTACCAAAACAATCTATACATATTTATATTTCGAAGATTTTAAAATTACATGATTTCACTGTTTTAACCCTTAAAATGCATGTTTTTTTTTTTTTTTTTTTTTTAATTTAAGTCAAAAATACATTAGAATTAATATCAAATAAATAGGCAAAATACTAAAAAAATCTAATTAAAGCTTTTATTCTAATTTTTGAAAAAAATATTGTTGCCAAATGGGTATATTATGAAAACAAATTTGGTATAACAATTTTATATAATAATAGATATCTTATAAACTTGTTCAAATAATTTTAAAACTTTGAATACATCAGAATAACAAAAATTACAAAATCAAAAATTCATAAACACAAATAATGTCCACACCCTACATATGAACTCACAATAATGACTGTCACATCACATTGAAACTTTCAAAACTATACAGATAAACAGTTTGTAACCACTTGGTTACACTATGCAGTAAGCTAATATTTGTGTTTTGATTTACATGACTAAATATGAGTATATTGCCAAATGGCAACTACATGCATTTAAGGGTTTAAAGAAAGAAATAATGAAACTGAGTATTAACCAGACATATTAATGATAACAGAAACATTGTAGCAATCAAACTGGTTTGTAACAGAACCATTGTAGCAATCAAACTGATCCAAAGCAAACATTTTGTCATAACAGAATCACTGTAGCAATCAAACTGATCAAAAGCAAACATTTTGTCTTCACATCTGCCAAAGATTTAAGCTTCAATACAAGTTCTAACACTATACAATATGCAAAATTTTTAAAGCAATGTATAATGTCATGAATCTTTACACCAGGCTTTCCAACAGACAGAAAACATGAACTTCCTTGTAACATCTTGAAGATCAATGAGATACACTGTTTGCTTAATGGAAGCTAATTGGCGCTCACAACTGTCCTATCTGGGCATGAGAGAACTCACACACGATTATGGAAACCCTTTCGCATCAGACAAAGCTGACTGCTTAATGCTGGTTCATTGTGCAATTATTACATGCCCCCTTTCCTTCAAGGAAGTACACAGCTATACATTTTGAACTCCTTCTGTCACAAGTGAGCAATAAGTAGTGCTTTAAAACGACATTAACATTTCATCCTTGCAAGAGAGACAAGCACTCCATAATGTAATCATAGTTCAGGATGGACTGCCTCAACATATCACAAGCCATGTCCACGTGCTATGACTGACATTCGGCCTCAGTTGTTCTTTCTACCATGAATGGCTACCAAGATCTTCTGATTTTACATTTTATGACTTTTGGTTATGTGGCTACTAAATTACAAGTACACAGAGGTTGACCAATGTTGATGGACATGTTAAAAGAAGCCAATCACCATCAACTGACAGGAATTATAGCTGAAAATCTATTTGATGGTGATGTGTGATTTGAGTGTAATGCTATGTCACCATCCAGATATGATAGTGGTTAGTGTGTCTCTGACTGCCATACTAAAGGGCCCATGTTTGAATCCCAGAGAAGGCATAGATGTTTTTAAGAGTTCAGTGCTTGTATGGACAGAGAAAACTCAAAATACATGGCAAGCTGAATTCCTTTCAAGAGGTTGGTGGTAGGGGGAGACATTTAGAACCTCCCAGTGATCTTCCTTGGAATTTTATTTGGAACGGAAAAATAGTAAGGTCCGGTGACCTGGTGATACATAATATGCTTACATGAATGCACAGATCCCAGCCTAGCTTCAACCTGCACCTATTATACCATGCCTGACAGGGATTTTCATGAATGATAGCTCTCACATTAAATATTTGAAATCCTAGGTGTGTTAAGAACTGTAAAAACTACTAACACAACTGAAGCACCACTTGTCAATGGCAAATGTAACTACTTTAGCAATAAAAGTTTTCATTATTAAAAAATATTTCCAGGGATTTTTGTGAAAAATCACTTTATGCCAACATCTTTACTTTTAAAATTATTCAATTGTTAGCTTTCCTCTTACTTGTAGATTACTTGTCATAAAGCAAACTAATAAAGTACAGAAAATAATACAATGAACTAATTAAAAACATCACAGACAATTCACTGTAGCTGCAAAAATATTCTGGATGAACATGATGGAATCAGTTAGCAAAAACCATTTCAAGTGCTAAAGATACAACACTGCATCATATAGCATCAGATCTGAATGCCCCAGCATGAAAAAATCATTATCATAATGACTACAGAATATCCATTACATGGGCTCGTGAAACCAACAACCAACTGAAGTACTGGTGATCAATGCATGATACACAGCTATGCAGCTCATTTGGGTAGTACTAATTCATAGTAAAGGAAGAATTTGTACGTGGAGTACACCTTATGAATCCATAGATCCTATATCAAGACTGCAGAAGCTTTAATGGCCCTATAAGAGTATAGTGTTTGTTTAGCTAACCTCCAGGGAAACCTAGTACATTTAATAACATCTCTTACAGGTGATTGCAATGTGCATATCTTTTCTGAAGAGTTACACTCATTTTTGCTCTGCATTTATTCTGATGTACTTGGCTTCTTTCTAATAGGAAAATCAACAGCCATACAAATATAGAGACATCAAATTACAATTAGTGAGCCATCCCAATTTGCAATTTTGTAAATTAGGATCAATTATGTTTTAAGTCACCAGACAGCTATGTTATCAAATACATCTGAGATGATATGCAGTGCACTTATGGAACTCAAATTTTGTAGCTTCAAATATAAAATTATGAACTGCATGTGCCGAGAGGATGGTATGAAGGAGTATTCCCTCATGGGCTCCCTATTTTTGCAGTTAATATTAAGATCTACTAAGTTCTATGCTGATGTGCCACTTAATATGGCACTTATACAACATGCCTCTGGAAGCATATATATCGATTGGGGAGTTGCTTCTCTCTCTCTACATATATATATACAGGATGTTGTACAAATTTAGATACTTTTAGAAGTGGCTTAAAAACGAACTTCAGCTTAAATTTTCATCAAAATATGGTGCAATGCTATCCAACTACTAGAAAAAAATGAGGAAAACTAACATTAAATAGCATTAACTTGTTTATATTTGAAAGCATATTCCAATACTATTAATACTGTAGCAAAACATCATAAGGCTCTTTGCTGCACATCTTTTTTCCAGGGTCTAATTTGCAATATTCACTCTTTAGAGATCAACAGTTCCAATCACTGCCTCACTTATTTCCAGTGGGCAGATAAAACTCATTTTATTTTACATAGTCGTGTTTCAAGATTAGTTTTCATATAAATCAACTTTTTATCCATTGTCTTTAACCTGTATTTTTACTACTATGCATTTTAGAAGAAGCTCAAGATAACTTTTGTGCCTTTTGAAGATAAATGCTTTCATTTATTATTATATCATTAACACATGTCTCGATGAGTTTTTTTAACAATCTACATATATAGAATAAGAGAAAGCCTACTTGTATTTTTTAGCATGCATAAGAGCAAAATGACACACACTGAACTTAAGTTGCCAATTTGGATGAAACAGAATCACTTGATTCATCAGGGTCTGGAAAGGTTAAAGGTATCTACCGATGAATATTGGAACGATACTGGAATTTAAGCCAAGAAAATTTATCCTTGTGATAAATCTGTCCTAATTTACAGAACACCGTGCATGTGCATACTTCTGTACATAAATTAATATAATTTTAAAGTTATAAAATCAGAATATAGTTTTATTAATGTGCATTTCACTTTTCTGTTTAACAGATAATATGATAAATGGTCAAAATGATTGTTATAATTCTAGGGAGAGAAAAGCTCCCACGGTTCTAGTGTTAATACTAAAGAAACTTGATACAGTTTAAAATGACATAGGGACCGAACAATTTCCATGGTTTCAGCACTAATACTAAAGAAAACTGAGAATGAAATAGATTGAAAAATTACGTATTTATATGGAACAAACCACAAAATTATCTTTGATCCAAAGTTTTGATTCCAAACACTCTTCTTTTTCTTCTTCAGGAATAGCATCCCACTGCGTCAAAGAACATTGGAGATGTTTTCTAATTAAGAATAGTTTTTCTTCTTCACCATATTCATGTTTGAGGATGACAAATTTCCAGAACCATCTGAAGTTCCAATAAATATATTTTAATATAGAATAAGGAAGACAGATAAGCTGTATCCAAAGTATGTCGGCTACTGATGGTTTTGAATAACCTCCCCTTTACAAGAGAAAGGGAAAAAAAAGGGGGATTATTAAACTTCAATAATAAATATTAATAAATAATGGCTTAAAAATATATAATTTATTTTATCACATGTAAATGGTTGTTTCACCCTCAAGAAGTTTGTTTACATTTTAACTTAGTTTAAATAGACCAAGAAAAATTTATGCATTGTGTTATAAGCTTTGATTGAAAAGTTTGTTAAAAGTAAAATTAAAAGAATCAGTACCACATTGGTAATCAGAACAAATAAGAAAAAAGCTTTCAGATTTTATATTATGCCCAAAGGAGTATTTTTTTCATTTGCACACACAAACACGTTTCGAGATCATTTGGGCTAAAAATATTTAGAATTTCTGATAGACAGTCTTGTGTGGTGGAGATAAAAATATGTTAATCTGCAGAGTGTTGCCACTGCTCAATTTGAAATCAATAAGTTTTTCAAACAAAAATTTGTTTAAGTTTTACAAAACACAAAAAAGATAATAAAACAAATTTGAAATTCAAAGTTCAGGTTTCCAGGTGCCCATATTGAGGCGGAGGACACCACTATTAAAAATTTGGAGGCTGTAAGTAATGTTGTTTTTTAATAATGAGAGAAACATACATACATTCATGCAGATTCCACATTATTTAATTTTTTTTTAAATATAATACAGGGCAATAATTTTTGGTGGCAACAATCTGAAAAATGTTTAAAGGCTTTTAGTGATTTGATGGAAAATGCTATTTCGAGAATAATAGCCCTTTTGGGTTAAAAATCACTACTTTCCTCTATAATATTGGAATTTCTCCACTAGTAATATCTCTTTTAAGGTAGCTAACTCACTCAGAAGTGAAAAATGGAGGCAAAAATGAAAACTCAAACAATGAGAGTGTGAGAGCTTCAGTGCCATCTTATCACTTAGCTGACTAGAATTTATTAGCTGTCGCTTACTCACTATCACTTAACTAATCTACAATTCTATCATGTTTTAAATACAATGATACATGTAGAAAACTTACAGTACTGAATTTATTAAGAATGATTTATAGGCATTTATAACAGGAGAAGCAATTTTACTCTTTCACCACGAATTTTTGTTTCTGCTGACTTAATGTATTTACATTATTTACAATTTTCACTATAGGAGCTCTTATTGTCAGTCACCCTCCTCCTACAAGCATGCTTAATCGTAATTCATACGCACAATATTTTTGCATGGCATTCAGTTGAGGCAGTTGAAGAAGCACTTCTGAAGCAATGATGTGTTCGGGAGCATGCCATCATGAATTCCCTTCACTATTCAGGGTTGCCACTCAAACAAGAGAATGAAATTCCCTGACTTTTATAGGTTTTCCAGGTGTGTTTTAAGAAAATTGCAGGTTATCCGCCTAGTGCGCATTGGTTTTGCTGAAGGTAAATTAATTATGGTACCACTTGAAAACACAAAAATTTGTCAATTACATGATTTTATATATATATATGCAAGATAAAAAATACGAAAGCAAACTTAGAAATAACGCCTAAGGCTAAAATGTGTAATTCAAATTAATTATGAGATTTTATGTAATGCCTAATGCAGATATCTCTTGCCTAATCAAAATAATTGTAAACCAAAACTAATTTGAACTTAAACTTGACTTCTTTCATTATTACCGTGACACTCACTCTATTTTCGCTTAAGCTTTCATCCAGTTAAGATGCTTTGCTGCAATCCAGTATAGTATCAAAAGTGTGAATGTTCTGGAAATAGGCTCGACTGGAGTGCCAAGTGAATTGTGGCCACAAAATGTGAATTTAAATAAATACGGAACTTAATCTGGCTTGACTGCATCTTCATCAAAATGACGGACACTCTAATCATCAACTATTTACTCTAAACAACATTGCTACATATCTATATCTCAGTGTTCTTATATCTCAGTGCCTCAAAAAGGTGTGCTTTCATTACATTCCTTGGCCTGTTCTAATTATGAAGAAATCTACATGGGTTTGTTATTCTATGTTCACAGTGAATCACGAGAAAAGTCCTGTTTCAATGAAAATTTTAATGAAAGTTTGTGCTGCATTCATAATCAAATCATTCATGTCGCATCATCGAACCAGTTTTATCACACACACACATATATATAATCCCCAAAGCATTACTTTTGTAACTATAATAAAAGTTGTTTTCTCCACTAAGGATTGAGATTAGAATCTGCCCAATCAAGATTTAAACATGTCTTTTCTGCAGACATTTTGCAGCCAAATAAATAAATAAATCTATTTAATGATCCTTTTAAATTATATAAAGTATTTTATATTTATTTAGCAGCATACATAAGTATGTGCACTAAATTTTGTGATGGTATGGCACATTACTTATAGAATTAGTTTCACAAATATGCCAGAGAAAATTGCCTGAAATCTGAAAGTATTATTAAATAATAACAAATAAATTTAGATGGAAGAAGGCACATTAAATGATACAAATAACATTAAAATAAAGTTAATTATGTAAGGATTAAAACTGAAGTACAAAAATAGATGGTATTTTGGTGATACAGATATATTAAATGTTTAGCCTACATGATTAATTATTATTATTATTTTTTTTTTTACTGCAAAATGACAAATAAGGCATTTAAGAAAGGAAAGGTTAAAAAGATTTTCTTTTATATGAGAATGGGGGGATTTACTTTCGTTCAACATGCACTGCACGCATGCATGGGAATCTCTGGATTCTCAAGGTTATTGGAAACCTAAGATACTGGAAACTTGCTTTGCCTTTCCAACAGACAATCTGATTGATGCTGCAAAAACTGGCTGTATGCCAGCCGTCTGAATGCAGCTCATGTGATACATGATTCACCAAGAAAGTGATCACTTCTGACATTCACGCGAAAATCGCTTTTCTGGGGATCGCAGTACAAAATTCCTGACTTCTCCTGGTTTTTCAGGTAACGTGGCAAACCTGACTATTGATTTCCAAGCCGAAGGACTGACATTCTTTTCTTTGGCTATTGAACTTGAGAAATTGTCAAATTATTTTTGTTACTTCAGTTGGAAATATGCTGCATAAAAAGCAAAACAATGGCATGATTCGAGTAATTTAACAGCTAGTTCACTACTTTAGCAATTATTTTAAATAAGAAAAAGTATATTTATTTACGAATTTGTGTAGACGACTTTACTGTATTTATTTATATTAATACACTATGCACATCGAAAAATAGCTAGTTCACTACTTTAGCAATTATTTTAAATTAAAAAAAGAATACTTATTTATGAACTTGTGCAGATGACTTTACTCTGTTTCTTCATACGAATATACTATGCACGTTGAAAAAATACCCAGTAAATACACTAACAAAAATAAACTATAGAATGAAATATGTCTTAAAATAAATAGACATCATTGTGTCTACGAGTTGTGAGTAACCACATTTTTATACAATCATGCATGTAATTTCAGAACAGCAAAATAAAATATATTTTTTAGTTTTAAGATGCACATTTTTCACACAAAAACATTTTCAAATGGGAGTTGATTTAAGAAGCTTCAGAAGCCAGTGAAACACTGATCACAGGCCATGTCAGCACTCATGATTTGTTTTTATGCATTCCAAAGATCTTATATTGCTAACACTATCTATGGAACGGGTGGGGGGGGGAACTCGGAAGAATCATTAGAAGTTTAGAAGGAAATGATGAATATGGCATTACTGTAGTATGTAAATCCATAAAAACAATAAAAACTTGGTTACAAAAAATATATTTCAATGCTTCCTTTACCCAATTTTATTGGAATCACTTGTTTTTCCCTACTGTTGATGGTGCATGTTACTGTTTATAAATCAGAATCCAAAAACAGAGTATGCTTAAGATGCTTAAAATCTTACAAGCAGTTCACATGAAAATTATTATTTTATATATATATTAACTATTTAAAGGTAAAATAAATTAGAAGTGTTATAATTTTAACTTCTCATAAATCTCAAAACCTTCCATTCCAAAGATTTTAGGATGCACTGGAAAAATTTTCAAATTAAGTAGAGTTTCAGATACACAGAAAGAAATTATTAGAAATCATATTGCCCATAACATGAAATTTAACAGTAAACCTCTGAACCCTACTCTAAGAGAAAGAAAAAGCTACGTTGTGTGAAATTCATTCTAACCCAGATATTATCATTTCGAAGGCCAACGAAAGTGGCCAGATAGTCATAGACAGAAGCATTTAAACCGATGCTTCCATTAAATTAAGGCCCACATAATCTGATTACTTAAAATCTTCCACCTTTAGACCTCTCAAAAATAAAAACTATGATTAAATATTTGCAAATCCTTCTGACCAACTTACAAAAATTGCCAATCCCATCTATTGCAAATTGTGCCACATTATATGGCTCTACCAAAATTCATAAAAGTGATTGCATTCCAACCTAGCTGTATCACATTTAGGCACAGCCTCCAAACCATCAGACAAATATTTAGTCTAGATTTTCAGCTTTGTTAGCTAATAACACTCACATACCATAAAAACTTTGCCAGAATTTATAAATAAATTAAAAAGTATTTCTCTAGAAATTTCATCACGGTTTCTTCTGATGCAAAATCATTAATCACCAATTTTGCAGTGGAAGGCACACTAAATGTCTAAAAACCAGACTTCGAGAATTTCATTTCTCATGTAGTGAAATTGACGAGTTAAATTTCCCTTACTCAACTTTGTCTGCAACAAACACACTTTGTTTTTCAAAATAATAAATAAATAAAAATTTAGGGATTGAATATTCATTTCGTAAGCTACCTTTCCCGATTAGTCTTTTTGCTCAACACTTTGCACATGTCTTTGTTTGATTTCTAGATAGAAATGATTGGACTAAACATCTTAGTGGATACACGTTTTCTAGCATACAATTTTCTCAACTTAAGTTGTTCTCCAGCATAGTCATGCATATATACTAGAACTACATGTGCATTCATGCTGCTGATTGCTGACTTTGATAATTTACAAACAAAATTGAGTAGGAAAGAGATGAAAATATCATTGTACAGAATTTCATGAGGAGTTAGATTAAGCCAATAGAAGGGCCACATTTGGCAAACAGTCCCTGGCATAGATGCTTCTTTAAGTTCTTAAATACATTCTCACAAATTATTATTTAGAGTTGAATCTCCTTTCATTCGTGTTGTATAAATCTAAAGTAACAACAGTGCTCTCTATTACTGATTTTCTGCATACCAGGGTAAATACTCACAAGACTCCACTGATCACTTTAACTTTCATAACATTTTTTATTGGCTAAAATTAATCTTGGTGCTAACATTATCATCTATATACAGCTGCAAGATCCTCAACTTCCAATAAATGTCTATGATTTCTTGTCTTATTTCAAAAGAGTATTTTATACTTCTCACAAAAAAATTTCTCAGCTTACCATTTTCATAAATGAAACAAAAGGGGGGGGGTGATTTTCTGGAGATTTTAAATATAAAACTCATGACCGTTTCCCTACCCATCTACACATCTATGAAAGTAAATAGGATGAACATCTGGAAGATGAACTGTAATTTGAAAAGGCACTATCAGCCAGCATAACAGTGTGGATGTTAATGCTAATGGTCAAAAATGCCCACAGAAAACTGTATTCAGCAAGACAGATTTCAAGCATTTCATTACGTCACAGTCCATTCTCAGAAGGTTTTTTTTTTTTTTGAAAATTAAACTTCTATTTTCAAGATGTTTTGCAAATTGTAAATAACTGAATGGATGGATACCAATCAGCAGATATAAGGGCATTACATTATTTCATAAACACTATTTCTGAAGCTCATGAATTACTTAAGTAAACAGCAGCATCTACAATAACAACTTTATGCAGAAAATCTATTGAATGCAAATAAAATATAGATATTTACTTCATTCAGAACAGAGAAAAATTAAGCATATTCATAAAATCATCAAAGCAATACAAACAAAAACAAAGAAATATGCCATTGATTTTATATTTCTTAATCATACCTTATGTCAATTTTTTCTTCTAATATTTTTTTTAGGACAGCTTCAGCTTCTTCTTTAATTTGGTCCTAGATTTCAGTAAATAATTGAATATCTTAATGATAAATATAAAATATGTTGCTCTAAGAATGATAAATATAATTAATGAAAAAATTCAATCAAAATCAATGAAAACATATCAGTCATAAGATAATCAACCCTATAGATACATAAATGTTTTATAGCTTTGAGAGAAGAAACCATTATTATATTATAAATCCAACATATCACAACAATTCAAAAATATTTCTCTGGTGTAAAAATGCACATTTCATTGTATGGAAGATTCTCTTCAGTAGAATTTACCAAATGCCCTTAGAAACCTTATCAAGATTTCTTCCTAACTTAATTCCAAAAACGTAATTTTATTTCTTAAGCAATTTTAATCAATTGCTTTACTGTAACTGCACTTTAATTTTAAAAGGAAAACCTAAAATAATTTAATTTTCAGTGATGCTAAATACTCGCTGAAAAGTTTAGGCCATGAAATGCTAAAGTCCTTCTTGGGAAATCACAGTGGTTAGATAACCCTTGCATGCAAGGTAGAGCATCCCTAGCATGTTTTGCCACAGTATGATGAATATTTAATTCTGAGTTACTTGTTAAAAGTAAACTGTACATTTCCATAAATACATACAATATTAAACTTTTCCTTTGTATTGTTAGGGATTTGGTATTTAAATAGCTAATGTTATTGAATTATACATTAAATTGTTTTATTCCCCGCGCAATGCAGTGCGTGATGAATATAAAAGGAAAGGTAAGCCGGAAAATTAAAAATACAAGAGCAAGTGAATTTAACATTTAATAAATAAATATTTCTTTTTGATTTTGAGAAAGTGCTGGAAAATTCTCGCACGCAATTAAAAATCTTGTAAAAGGAGAAAAACCTCTCAGTTTGTTGTGATTTTGTTTTGTTTGTTGTTGTTAGTTACTTAAATTGTTGTTGTTTTAAGAATTTGTTTAGAAAACTGCTCTTGTTGATTGTAGCGAATTCGTGGATTAGCTTTCTTTAGCTGTTTTGAATTATGTTCTATTCAATGTTTGAGAAGTTAAAAGATAACTACTACTGTGAGAGGTATTGTAATACTGCACGATAATTTGAGGAAATTTAAGCATATTGTTGTGATAATAATAAATTTTGTTCATTTTTCATTGGACTTGTGCATTCATTTCCTAACGAACCCGTACGTATGCAACAGTATTGTTCCTTTATTTGTAGTTTACGCATTGTCTTAAAACTTAATTTCTTTATGTGAAACTTGGATTCACAACATCAGTTTCCATTACTAAACTTTGAAATTAAATTAGACACTTTTTAGAAGCATTTCTAGCTACATAGCTCATTACCAAGAAATTCAAACTTTAATCAGACAACCATTTATTCCATAGCAAGATATGAGAGATTTCATGTGTTTGCTTCCCAACACTCTACAATCCCTGACTGATAACCCCCCCCCCCAAAAAAAAATTCCTTCCATAACAACCTCTTAAATGAAATTACTAAAGCACAGTTTCTATATGAGATGCTTAAAAATTAGGTCAGTTGTTAGAAAGCAACAATATATTTTATAGAAAAATATCCAGCTTTACCAAGTAAGTAAAGACAAAGGGTTTATAATACTATAAAAAATATAATAGCAGCAGCTTACAGAACAGTTACTGGTCATGTACACATATTCAGGCAAGAGAATGATTAACTGAAAGGATGGAAATTCAAAGAATTCAAAATAAATCAAAAGAATCTACAATGAATTTTATTCTATGCTCCTTAAAAATCTAGCATCTAAATCACAGTTAGGAACAAAAGATCTTTAAGACACAAAATTACTTAATCTTAGAAGTAGCACAGGCTTTTGGATATGCTCATGAAGATCTATATTTAAATAGTTTCTATTAGCTAAATTTTTATAATTACTTATTTTAGTCTCTGTTTTTATAAATTTTCATTCGCTAAGATAATACTTATATTATCAAAGAGAGCAAAATATTTTAAACTATAATCTAATATATATCAAGTCACAAAAAAAATCTCATGACCGGATAAAGTGGATCATGCTACTTTGGGCTAAAACACTAAAGCAGTAATATTAAATTAACTCTACAACTCTGTTCTATGTTATCTGCCTCCTGCTCACTTTTATTTTTACACTCTATCTTAACTAAACACTAGGCAGGAATGTTATTTGAATAGAATCTTAGAATTTTAAAGAGGCAGATGTATGTTACTTTCAACATTTTATTAATAGTATTTTAAAAAGTGATAAATTATGATTACATTTGGCTCTAAATTTAAACACAAAACATAAATATTTTACAACTTTTAATACCTTCCATGGGGGGGGGGAAAAGCAGGTAACCCCCAAAAAAGAAACTTACGATTACCCAGAAGTGTATAATTTATTTAAAAGAACAGCTATAACAGCAAAAGAATACATTGCCTTTCACAATAACCTCTGGCACAGATGCAAGTGGTTATCATGCGAGTTACACAAACATACAGTATACGGATTCTATCCTAGGGTAAAAAGATCGAATTATGCCAAAATGGTTGGCGAGTTCATCATTCTGAAATTGTTCTATGCACATCCCATCATGTATCCAACAGTCAATCATAAAAGCTTAGATCATCAAGTTAACAAAAGAAAAGGGTCTGTAGTTGTGAAGGCAATCTTGTGAAAAAAGTGTTACATGAGGCTGGGTATTGTTAATATACCGTGCCAATCTGGAGATGGCATGGAAAACTAAAATGAATTTATAAGACTAAAATTTTGTTAAAAGAAACGGCTCCTTAGTCAACAAATCTGCATGTGCAAATTATGTGGCATTAACAAAAAATGCATTTTATGGATTGCAATGCATTGGTTGGCCCATCTCCAGACTTAATGCCTACAGCAAAACATGACTTAACTGAACAATGTAACTTCTTGGACATTACCTTATGTCAAATGAAACAGACACTTTTGCTGCTAATGCTCACTGATCACTGGTAAGCAATAGTGTGGTCTGGAATGCAATGTCTGTTCAGAAGTTACTTTACAATCATATTCACAGATTAAAATTTACTAATGTGAGCATTGGTGGATGCTCAGAAAATCAAAGGCTGCGTTACTGGTCTTTGTGGCAGTAACTGGGCATCAAGAAGCAAGTGAGCAATATGAAAATGTTTGAAAATTTTGCTTGCTTAAAAACTTTAGAAACAGTTAAATATGTGTGTTACTATATTACAGTTGAGCTGTTACTCCTGGAAAATGAATTGCATATAGCCTTTTCTGCAACTTAATGCGACAAAGGTAACCGGATCCCAGCTGATGAACCTCCTTACAAAGGCAGGAGGAGGGCTAGACAGTCAAAATCACATTGGAGAGACTATACGGCAAATTCCTTTATGCTACAAATTGAGGGCCTCAATCCTGAAATGCAAATTTATACAAAATAAGCTCCTTCAACTGGCCTCCCCCATCTATTAATGGCCCACCGGAAAAGGTGTAGATGTTTGTTTGTAAGTGTACAGAGTTTGGCAAAATCGCACTCAAAATACATAGCAAGCCAGAAGTCATCTTGAATGGTTTGTTGGTAGGGTAAGAGGGGTGGAGGATAATCAGATATATCTTAGAACAGTGGTTTTCAATTTTACAATGCTCCTTTTTCAATTTTTCAATAGAAATATTAAAAAAATATATATTTTGCCAATTGCACAACCTATTTGTATTAAACATGAACACATTAAAAATATTAGATTAAAAATTGGCTACAATTTTAATTATAAAAATCTAATTTATTGTGAAATTTGGGCTTGTTTAAGAGAGATCAATTTGCTTATGTTTGGTCTTATTTCACTTAGTTTTAACCGTAAATTAGGATCCACTTTAAATTTTGTTCCACATTAATTTAAAAAATATAACTTGTAAGAAATTCCTTGTTCACACAAATAGGTTGAGCAAAAAGGCAATACAAATTGAATAGCTTAATTTGAAATGCTTCTAAATTCTGTTTTTTGGTTAAGGTAAAAGTTAACAAATGTGTTATTTTTCAAATCTTCAGTTAAAGAAGAAATTTCTATAAACTGTTCTTTTTCATCCCGAGATAAAATTTAAGACACATTTGAACAAAATGGATTTCTAATCCAATTTTCATTTTCATAACCCTCAGTAAAATACATATTGAAATCATATATCAATAAAAAACAACAGTTTTTAATATCAGATGCTAATTCTTTTATTTTCGAATTATTTTTGGTTAGAAAACTTTCTAAACGTGTTTAAAAACTTAAAATATTATCATCCGATTCTTTGATTATTAGCTCGAGTTTTTTTATTATTGCATTTATTTTATCTCTAATGCTAAGCAAATTAACACTTTGTCCTTATAATCCTCATTTAACTTCCCAACAATATCAGCTAAATATGCTAAACGCACCAACAATAATTCACAAAATACACAATTTTGTAATTCAAATTTTGAATCACAGAGGAAGATTTGAATTTCTGATCGAAGTTCTAAAAGACAATTTAATACTTTGCCTCTGAATAAACACCTCACTTTGGAATGCACCAAAAGTGTTTCATGTTCACTACCCATCTCTTAGCATGAAATCGTAAATATTCTTGAATTTAAATCTAGGCTTTAAATAAAATTAACACTTTTAACAGCTTAATTCAAAACGGTTTTCAGATTTTAGAGATTGCTTTGGCTACTAAAGCTTTGCAATGAATGGGGCATAGGGTAAATTTAGTTCCAGGTGCGATTTTCATTATTTGAGAAATAACATCGGAATTGTTTTCTTGAAGCCCGAGCTCCGTCACTGCACACAGCAATGCACTTATTCCAAGGAATATCATGCTCAGACATAAAATTGTCAATTAATAAATACTCCTCGGCAATTTGTTTATCGTCTTCGAAACGTATGTTAACTAATAATTGTCTAAAGTTCGTTTATTGGTACTTTCATCCAATTGCAATGCAAAATATTCACTGTGTTTTATTTTTGAATACCTGTCCCTTTTAAGGAATTTGCCATTTCATGAATTCATTGAATTACTGTATTATTTGATAACGGAATATTTTTAAGTTCACTAGTCGCTTTTTCATTGAATAATGTTAAAACGATATCTTTAGCTGCTGGTAATATACGATTTTCTGGAATAGTGTGAGCCTGCCCAGTCTTGGCAATTCTTATGCTTACTAGGTAACTAACTTCTAAAGCTTTTTCACTTGAAGCAACAAAACCTTTCATTACTTGTTTACTGTTTTTTTAACTCCGAGGAATTTCTTTAAAAATATTCTTCAGATTTATCCTTTAAATTTGCATGCTTAGATTCAAGATGTCTTTTAAGAAACAATCTTTTCATATTTTGGTTGGATAACAGTTCACCGCAAACAACACATTGAGGTTGAGGGTCCATTTTATCTCCATTCCAATTAAACCCAAATAATAAATAACTTTCATTATATTTTCTATAAACAATTTTTCTTTTCTTTTCAATATTCTTAGTACTAGTAGATTGTCTTGGATCCATCACCTGTGAATGATCAATTTTCCGCTTAGTCAATCCTAGCTTTTTCTCCATAAATTTAATATTTTTTCACAAATATTAAGAGTTCTTGAAAAATTATGATTATTCTCAAATTACGTAGAAAAGTAAGGAATACAAAGCAAAGAGAAGACAAAATACCTGCTGATAATGACAACAAATCGATGTAAAAGAAATTATTCTAATTGAAAATAGCCAGGAAATGGTACAATATGAAAAATATGTTCCTAAATATATGAGCCCAGAAACAGTGGCTGCATAAAGTGTAGACATGCTAATAAATCGATCAACTCTGAAAGAATTATTGAAATACTATTACCTTTTTATAGAAACTTATTTTTATTTCCCATTAAATGCAACATCCATTTCTATTATTCCTTTTGAAAACATAATTTATGACAAATTTTGTAATGTCTATGGCTAAAAGAATATTAGTGAAAATAAAAATGGATTATTTTGCTAACGTCCAAATTTGTTATTGACCTTGAACAAAGCTCAGATTGCATAAATTTACGAGCATTAGAGAAAAAATGAAACAGGATACTGGGGTATTTAATTTTTGAATTTAATAGGTAAAAGCATTTTGTTTCCTTGTATACCACCAGTGGTATGCGTACCAACAGCTGAGAATCGCTGTCCTAGGATATTTTTCATCGAAACTGAGGTAGAATTTAATAGCTAGTGTGGTAAGACTACACAAGTAGGTCCAATGGTGAAATTCTGGTAGCCAACTCACTAATACATGTACTTGTAACATTTTAGCAGTTATCAAGCAAAGCATGCCAGTCAAGCCTACCTGTAAGTTTGTGTAAATGGCATGTAGCTTCATTTTTCTATCCTGAGGATCTGAGTCTAAAACTATTGAGCAAGTATTCTAAAAATATGAATACAAGCTTACACCTGTAATAACAGGAATCTGTGTGCATTGGGAACATACAACTAACAAACATTTTAAAAAATTTTCATCATTACCATTCTGTTTCCGTGCTTTATAGAATTTTAATTAATAATTTGATGCATTGAAACCGCAACAAACACGTGAAACTTTTATGCATTTCCAGTTACTGTCTAGACTTCACACTGAAGACATCTAATACAACACAAAATTTGAAATCCAGAATCATCTAATAACCTGACAAAATTTTTTATATAATTTTTAACAAAGTTTAGGAATGAAGACAAAAAATCTGAAAATGCCCATAAAGACATTTTTTTTAATGTTCTGTGTGTTACCCTTATTTATTAAATACCATGTTCTTCGGAAGTAAACCATAAAATTCAATTCAATGGCAATATCGCAAAATAATTTTAAAATAAGCATATCTTTAGATTTGCCAATGCACAGTCTCACACGCTGGATATAAAAATGTTTTTCTTCCCCATACAATGTTGCCACCAACAAACTCAATGATACCAATGTTGCCAATGATATCATGAGTTTGTTAATCAAAAATTCGTTTTAGTATTACAAAATATGAAAAGGAATAAAACAAATTCCAAATTAGGGCTTCCAGATGCCCATATTCGGTGGAGGATTACATTATTCAAAACTGGATGGCTCCAGGTACTGTAAGTTTTATCACAATGCAATAAAAATACATACATTTTTGCAGATTCTTCATTATTTAATTTCTTTAAATATAACACAGGGCTCTAATCTTTGGTAGCAACAATTTGAAAAGTGAACCGAGATTTACAGTAAACCAACACAAAATGCCCAAATGAAATTAATAGCCATTCTGGGCTTAAAAAATTAAAAAAAAAAAAAAAAAGAAGAAGAAGAAGAAGCAGATGTGCGGTCAAAAGCATATTTTCTTCTGATTAACTCGGAATTGTGTACGTCACTTTCAATTCAACACATGCTGACTAGGAAATCACACCATGGCTGATGACAATACACTGATTGACGTCAGCAATGACCATGTTTTCAGTCCTTGTAACACTTTTCTAGCAAACCTTAACAATAAGTGAAGCCCCGAAACATTTTTACTTGGAATGGGATGTTTTTCATACTGCGATTATTTTGTTGCATGTCAGTGGGAAAGAGAGAAAGAATTAACATTACGAAGAAATTCAGTTAACATAGCAAGTTATGTTCTTCCTTAACTTTCTAATTTGAACCAACTCACCAATTTTTGAAGGATATTATTAAAGCTGTCTTATCAAAATTGAAGTTTAAATTTTCAATATTATCAAAAAGAGTTCCAATTCTGGAGCAGCAGCAGGATCTGCAAAGTGAAAGTGGACTTGGTGCTTGCCTTCAGATATTGCAAATAAAGCAATAAACAAGGGAAAAGAAAAAAACAATGGTTTCATAGCTGTTAAAAGTATAAGACAAATGTCATAAAATAATTTTAAAGTGTTAATATTGTTTAGTAGTATAACTGCATAATAAAGACTCTAAGAAATAATCTTAGTCTTCCTGAAGCCATTAATAGATGTAATGTTTTTTAATCTTTCAGTATTACTTAGAAAATTACACTTGTGCCACCTGCTTACAAGATGTACATGTGTTACAGTCTCTGATAGTAAACAGTAAAAAAAAAAAAAAAAAAACACTTTATTTTGGCCACAGATTTTGTATACTACAGAATGCAAAATTTTCCAATTAATGGAATTTGTGAAGAAATGTGAAGTGACAATGAATAAAGATTATATAATAGTTTTCTATTGTGTATTTCTATTGTGATGACAATCCTGCAATACGCAATAAACTAACAGATGGTGTTACTTGTAAAATGATAATATACATATTGACAGTGAAGAAAGTGACAAAGAAGAAGTTGAAAAGATTTCCATTCACAGTTAATTGGGAATTTTTGAAACAGTAATTACAGGACTTGAATTACAGAACTTTGTAATTGAACATGAAATTATCAGCTGAGACTGATACCACTGATTAAGAAGAATGTGGGAACAAATATTATGACTGATGAATGGCAGGAATGGGAATTACATGCATCAGACTTTTAATCATTCCACAAATTTTGTTAATCCGATAACTGGTAGTATATAAACCCAGTCCATAGACTATAAGTGACAGCTTCAGAAAGACATATTACGAAAAATGTTTTCACAAAGAAAATCTAGCTGATAACCTACTAAAATACCGATTTCAGTATGAAGTTTCATTAATGGTCAAGACTGATTCATGGAAATTTTAAGAACATAAAAGATTGTTTTCCTGCAGGGTAATTTGTCTCCAGTAATTTCCTTAAAAGCATTTTTTTAAGAGGAAAAAAGGCCTATTTCAGGGTCATACAAATCTCAAAACAAAAAGAAATGAAATTTTGCTACATATCAGTATAAAGATTTTAAAAAACACTTTTTTGTAATAACACAATTAGAAATCTATTTCAATGACACAGGTACCCAAAAACGTTCTTGCTGTTTTGGACAGTCAGAAAGTGTGTGATTATGGCAAAGCCTCGAGGTCTATCAGCCTAAGGGGTAGAATGCCTTCGTTGAGGACTTGCTAAGGGAAACTGGCTCGTATACAAGTTACATATGGAGAAAACCACGAAAATGCCCATGAAAAAACTAAAATTCATTTTTTAAAGCAAACTATAGAATTTTCATCAATAAAACCATCTTGTATGATAATGGGGAATGTTTCCTTTTCTTCAAAAACAGTTGCTGGAATAGAACAAATTATGACTCTTTGAACACCTCTCATTTAAGATTACCCATAAATGTTTTCTCTCAAGATACTTTAAGATCAGTTACTGCAGCTTAGTTAGCATATTTTCAATATAAAATTTTATAAAAGTTCAAAGCATACCTTTGATCTCCTATCCCGTTTTTTATTCATTTCCAACAATTTTTCTTGCTTTGCTATCTCCAGTGCCTAAAAAAAAGAAAGGTATTATAAATACGTAAAAAAATTAATTTCTGCACAATATATAATCATCAAACAAAACACACTAAGAAAAGTAAACGCATTCCCAGTGCAGAAGAATAAGAAAATAATCATCCAATTTAGCTTTTGAATATACAAAAAAATGTGTTAAAATAACCATATACAAAACTATGGAATAAAAATTTATTTCAGTACTAAACTAGCAGACTAACACTTACTTATACACAGTCCAAAGTTCAAGATCCAGAATTGGCAGGATACTAGCAATTCCAGATTAAAAAAATTTCCTAGTTTTTTATTTAAAATTTAAATTTAAATTTGATAAAATTAAGTGTAGAAATTATAAAATCAGATACATGAAAATTTGTGGAACAATGGACATTCTTTAATTTTATAGAGGAAGTTTCATTGTTCAAATCGCATCATTGCCACTTACCATCTGGAGAAGTCCCATTAAGTAATGAAGTGAAATCTTGTTCTCAATAACATCTTATCACTTTCTTCACTAATTGGCGGTGATATATACTGGATTTAAAACTACACTACATGCTTTGCCACCCATTAATTAACTGATGTTGCACTGTCATTGCAATGAAGACTTAATTTACCATTTCTTTATATATTCCATTACTTACAAAACTCTGCTGTTCTCTTTTGACAAAGGCATAAATAAACCGTATCCATAACTAAAATGCACCTTTATATAGTTATTGCTTGTAAGAATGACTTAACTGATAAACTTCAAAAATTGGCAGAATAGGAGGTTGCCTACACGAACATTTTTAAGGATCTCTGCTGTTCTCTCTTGACTCTGCACTGCAGCAGCTTTAGGTAAAAAATTTGCTGTGCAAATTTTATATAATAATGTTACTAGAATTCTAGGACAGTCTCACAACTGCATCAGTATTAAAAATCTACTTTATACCTGCAAGCAAAATTCCAATGAAATGTGATGTAAATTTTATTCAAAGACTTGAAGACAAACATTTTTATTTGTACTCGTCAAAAGATAAATATCCTTAAGTACAAGTTTTTAAAATGAAAATAATCACTTTGTTTGGGAGTGAAAATTTTTTCCCCAGTTAAAAATGAATAGGCATTAATTGTCCATAATGAAAGAGTTTCTAACAATTCTTCTCCATTTATCAAAATCGAAATGCCATCAAATATCAAGATATAGTCAGAAACAAAGAAGGTTATTATAAATTAGATAGAGATACGCATTCTTTATGTACATGTGAAAGAAATAGCTAAGGTACCCAATAAGTACCAACCCTTAAATTTCAAAGAAAAAAGAATATATTTGAATTTTTCCCTGCACATTACTATTGTTGTTTTTGTATGTTTTAATAAAATATTGAGTAAGCGATTGGGTATCAAAAGAAAAAATTTAACTGAAAAATCCGGAGAGAGGAAAAAAGTATAAAGTTGATAAATAAAAAAGATACTATACAGGAAAATAGAATTAAATATTACCAAAATAAGTTTTCAACTAAACCATGTTTAAGAAGAATTAAACATAAAAAGAAAAATTTCAAACAGATTATAAACTTGCAGCGCACCACCATAACACCAGATTATAAAGGGGTGTTATTAATACATTAATCCTTTTGCGATGGCACACCTTTGTTTAAGATGCTTGTGCAGGACGGAAGGGAATCAAAGGCAGTCACCGTACAGGACAGAGGTTTTGCATCGCTAAGCCTAATTTTATAAAAAAAATCAGAAAAAAAAAAGTTTCACTCCTAGCAATGAATTTTTGGTATCATTTCAGATTATTGTTTGAGCTCTTATAGATGTTAAAATTAGCACTTAATAATGTTTTTTCTTTATTTTACACAAAAATATACTTTCACTTTTTAACTAAAGTTCTAACTTCTAAAGTATCACTTTCTAACTCTTTAGAAAATGAATCATCACTCTCATCTGCATTAGTAAATGGTTCATTAACCATACGAGGGTATTCTTCCTCTGATAAATAGCACCTTCCCGCCATAATAGACTGGAGGTGAGGCTTTCTGAAATAAAAAGAAAAGAAACGGAAATATATCTGAAGGCAATGCAAAATGTAACACAACGCCACATAGTAACCCTGAAAGACCGCACATAGTAGAGGGAAAATAGAATAAAAAAAGGAATTGGACATAAATGAGACGCAAATGCTTATATTAGCATGCGTCAATTTAAAGTGCCCACCTCAGTTTACACTTCCCCCCAACCCTTGCAACAGCTGATGAGTAAAATACCAAAATCAAACTCAAGGTCAGGAACCTAAAACTGTGTTCATTTCAAAAGTAATGGACATAGGATGCCATCTAGTGGCCTTCAGAAAAACGTTCCACCTTAAAATGTGTATACATATCACCCGTCCTCTGAATGCAATCTCTAGTGATACGTGGATGGGATGCCCGGCTGTAAGAGACGTTCTTAGGGAATGCGTATAAGGGGAGGTCCATTCTGAAAAGGTTAAGGGTAAGTATGGTGCAATATATTCATAGTGAACTATGTATAAAATTCCAGCTTGTCAAATGCCTTCAGAACATGCAATCAGCCAGCAAGCAATTTCAGTTTGAGACAAGTGCTTAGAGTATACTTTCCAAAAAATTCTACCACCAGGTAACTAAGAAAGTTCATGTGGTTTTTGAGAATGTTTACTTTTTGTATGTTAGTGAGGACAAATTGATTCTGATGATGCCATATATTTACATGGCTTTCAACCCTTATTCAATAGAGAGCTGTTGCTATTTCGCTATTGCTTTTGTAGGAAGCACAATCTTTGAAAGAACATGTCACTGAAAAAGGAGATTTTGAAACCTATTATACTTGACCAGTACAAATTAGGAAACAAAAGCTGCTGAAGCCACTAGAATATACTCTGTGTTTGGAGAGATATCGGTGAGTGAACAGACTGCTCAAAAGTGGTTCAGCCGATTTTCTTCCGGAGACAACAGACAAAGCCTGTTAGTCATCCATCCATCCTCGACGAAGTCCAGCTGAAGGAGGAAATTAAGCAGAATCCTCAGCAAACCTGCCAAGAGCTTGCACACAGGTTTGGAGTACCTTTAATCATACTTCATAAACTTGGGATGACATGGAAGCTAATCAAGCAGGTTCCTCCCGTCCTGTGTCCAAGGAAAACAAGGTCCAACAACTGAACATCTGCTTGTCGTTGCTGTCATGCCAAAATAAAGCTTTGTTTCTGGACCAATCTTGACATGTGACAAAAAATGAATCACGTATGATAACTGGAAGATGAAACATCATTCTGGATCAATCTTGACATGGGACAAAAAATGAATCATGTATGATAACTGGAAGATGACACATCATTGTTCAACTTCTGGTTTGGTCTCAATGGCTGTTAAGCCAGACAGTCACCAAAAAAGGTAATGCTGTGTGTTTGGTGGACCAGCACTTTAGTTCACTATGAATATCTAGAAAGTAGAAAACTCTTAACAGCCAAGGTCTACTCATCACAATTGCAAAGTTTCAGCTGCACTGCACTAAAAGCAGTCAACAGAAGAGTTCTCCTCTGCCACGATAATGCCACACCTCAGCAGCAAGTGAGACTAAAGAGGTGATCAAAACACTAGGTTGGGAAGTTCTGCCTCAGCCACCCTACTTCCCAGATATCGCCCCATAAGATTACTACCTGTTTTTAGCCAAGGATAATCACCTGCGGGAACAGCATGACGATGTCCCAAAGGCTGTATCACAATTTTCGGACTCGAAATAAAGGATTTTTTCAAAAAGGGCATTTATAAGCTTGTGTGTCATTGGAAACATGTAATGAAACTAACAGTGATTATTTCAAAGAATAAAATGGATATTTAAGATTTCTGTGGGCCGTTTTCGATGAGTGACGCATTAACTTTATTTTGGTTACCTGACACATACAGTCACTCAGCCAGTTGTGAGCTCTTAATAAACAAGATTTATCTACAAGCAAAATGCTACTCTCACAAGCTATACAATGATTCATCCCATAACTTTGTACAAGTGTACTTACTTTTTGTGGTGTCTACCGACAACATCACAGAGAAAACAATGCAAGGTGATATCATTGTGGTACAAAACATCATGGGAGAAAAGAAAGCAAAGAGAAAACATCATGGTCGAAAATAAAGCGGTTAAAAACCTTCAGCTTAAAAGCATCATCATCAAAAATATCATGGGAAAAAATAAAGTACCTACAAAACATCGCCTAACAATAACATCGCACACAATGAGTTTTCAGATTTTAAAAGTTGTAACTGCATATTCGAATAATCATTTGGGAGCGCAAAAAGGAAAAAGGGGTAGTTTCACTTCTACATTTCATATATTTGAATGAACTAATAGATTTTTGCTAAAAAAGTAAGAAGAAAAACTTGAGCATTTAAAAACTGAAAATGAGTAGAAAATTAATGCAACTTATAACACTTACTAGAATTTAAAATTTAGATAGTTAATTAACCTCCTACCATTATTTATCTACCTTTTTCTAACCATTTATAGACTGTATTTTTCATGAAAAATTATCAGTAAAAATTTATAAAAAAGATTAATTTCTTAATTAACTATGTAAATTTAAAATTCTATATTAAGTGCTATAAGTTGCATTAATTTTCTACTCTTTTTAAATTTTTAATTGTTCACGTTTCCTTCTTACTTTTCAGCAAAAATCTGTTAGTTCATTCAAAAATATGAAATATAGAAGCGAAAATATCCTCTTGTGCTCCATTATGCAAATATTAAAAGTCATTCTGCAAATATGCAATTACAACTCTTAAACCCTGAAAACACATGTGTGCAATGTTATCATCATGCGATGATTTGTAGGTACTTTATTTTCTACCGCAATGTTTTCAACAATGATGTTTTTAAACTACGAAGTTTTTTAACCGCTTTATTTTCGACCACGATGTTTTAGAAATGCGATGTCTTCTCTTTGCTTTCTTTTTTCCCATGATGTTTTGTACTACTACATTTTTGCCTTGCATTGTTTTCTCCGTGACGTTTTCGGCTGTAACCCTTTTTGTTCAGAAATTGCAGTACATTGCTGGATATTATTATATTTAATAACCTTCAAATAGGCATTTCAGTGTTAAAATTCTAAATACAGGAAAATTAAAAACAATGAATTTACTTTAGAAACTCTGCATTAATAATGAAAAATGCTTTAGGTCTCTGTGAAAAATAGCTTTAAATGTAATAATGAAGTAAGTAATGAAGTAATGAAAAATAGCTTAAAAAATCAAGAAATGCTTAGGTCTCTGTGATTTAAGGCTAAATCTGTCCATAAGAATTCATGGATAACAAACATCTGATACGCTTTAAAGTTTTGATTGATATGCTTTACAGAGCAGATGATGAAAATTTTGATTTTCTGTAATTGTGTAGTATAGTTTTAAAATTTCAGATGAACTGATATATTTTTGCTTACCAATATTACAACCTATAATTCGGCTAATGGATATGAGAAGAAAAAAAATTCACATTCTGATGGAAAGAGCAAGTTTTACTTATACTTAAAAAAACACCTTATCCACAGTAAAGGGAGGGAGCAGTAAATCAAGATTCATACTGGTGCAAAATGACCCATAAGACAATTTCAGAGCTGTTCCTGGTTGCAGTTTAAAAAATCTGGCCATGCAAATGACAGAAAAGTTTGAATGAATCTAAAGGACTTCAGCAGAAAATGTGAGCAATTGCCTAAATGGTCTGGAATCTTTATGATATTAATGTCTTCCAATTAAACAGAATACAGTGCTCTTGCACTACTACTGTATATCATAAGCAATCATAAAACACAAGAAATAGCAATTATTCTTAAAGCATTACATTTCAAAGTAATGATTTAAAAAATATAATTTAAAACACGAGTTGTTTAGTTTACCTTCAGTCTGTATTTTGGCACAGTTATGAGATGATTGATGGCAGATTTATATCTGGACCATGCACCTAGATACTAAACATAAAAGAGAAACATTTATCAAATAAATTTATATGCTAACATATATGTTTAATAGCACAGTTTTGTCATATTAGATAATGTAAACTTCAGTAACTTACAAAATTTGATTTCTAACAATAAGAAAAATTAATGCAAATTACCTGTAGTACAGAAATAACAGTAATAGTAACAACAATCACAATTCGGGCATCAACTTTTGGTGCCATCTGCCGACGATAATAGCGATAATAATGCCCATACACCTTGTCTACAAGAAAATATAAAGACTCCAAATCAAAGTTTTGAAATAACATATCAAGATATTATGCCCAAAATGATAATGTTTTAACAATTACTTGGGCTACAATTCAAACACTTATATGCATATTTGCCATAAGTTTAATATTACATAATTAATATGAATTTTAGTTGATTACAGGCTAAAAATAGGGCTAACTTTTTTGTTTTTGAATGACAGCATACATTAAACATTCTTCTAACTTATTACATAATTTTGTCATATTACACATATTAAATTGCTGTATTAAATAGTTTTACAAAGCAACAGTATATTATTTTTGGTACTGTTCTGCTGTTGGGACCAGATTCATAAATGTATAAATGTATACGTGTATGTACGCATACATGTGCATATACATATGTAAGATATAACAAAATACATTTGGTGACCTCAAAATTAACTATTCTAGATTTGGTGTTCTCCCCTCTAAATTCATTTGTTCTCCCAAATTCGAGATCTCTCCATGTTGCATAACACTGCTTCAAAAAGGTAACTAAATTTAAAATTAACCAGCCACAGCTTAGAGTACTTTCTGCATACACTCGGTATAAATACTGCTCACAGGTTAACTACGCCTACTTCCTTGCCCTAGGTTCTGCCTTCCAACATACAGCTATGCCCACTTGCTTAAAATGACGTTGTATTCCTTTACCAGTGTATATAAAAATTACTGTAATTGCTTATAATCTAGAAGTACCTTATCTATTAAGAAATGATTTGACATGTGTGAAAATAAGATTCGCGATTGTAAAAATCCAATTTTGTTATCTTCGCCAGTACACATTCAACCCTCAGCCATTACGACAGGAAGCTACTCAAGGTATTGTATTCCTCCTATGCATTATAATGCAACATGTATATATGTATGTCATGATACAAATGATTTGGGACTTGGTGGTGGCATAATAGATGCCTAGTGAAAAAACTTGGCAAAACAGACATGGCCAGATTCGAGATAATTTTATTATTGAAGAAGCAATTCTGGATTTGCAATATTTGGTTCACATACGGATGAGCATCTTATGCACCCTACATTTTTGTTAGCTCGCCACATATTCAGTGAACAAAAAGGTAGCCACAAAGCATCTGAGCAGGAGGAAAGCTTACGTAAAAAGTGACGCAGCAATTTAAAGGAAGAAGAGAAGAAGTCAAAAAGTTTCAGTTCGAGTTAAAAAGATTTGGTTTACAATTATTTGACTGGGCAAGAAGTATCTGCTTTAAGCATTACATAAGATCTCATGATTAATTTGAATGACACAATTTAGATTCAAAGCACTATTTTTAAGATAGAGAGAGGAAGCCCTCAAATTAAATAAAAAATAAAAGAGGTTCTAGCCAATTAAAATTAGAAGTTTGCTTTCATATTTTTTAAAATCTTACACATTACCATAACACTAGATTTATGGAAGGGGACATTTTGACACCTAGCGAACTTTTATCTCTGACAGCTTTTTTTTTCAAATATCTTAATCTTTTCTCGACTTCTCCTAAATCATTGCGATTTACGAAATAGTTAAGAAAATCTATTTTTATTTTACACCTAACAAATGATTATACCTAGAAATACGGCAGGTGTCATTTTGACCCCTTTGAGAGAAAAGAAATTTGAATACATTCCTTTGTATTATCTGAACACTGTTACTTCTGTAAACTAATTTTATTTGCACCTGCTAAACAAAATACAGACATAGGAAAAGAAAATGGTGGGTCTGCGTAGTTTCACATCTGCCAGTCACAGGATTTGAAATATGCGCAATACTTTTGCTTGCGGAAAGAAAACAAGAGGAAAGAGATTATTATGAGCTGAACGTTTGTAGATTTTTCGTAGATATTTTATTATTCATAACAAGTTTTAGTGGAAAATTTTATTCTATTTACATGAATTTATTACAGTGACGTACTAATGGTGCGTAGAAAAGGACTAACACATAACGAAATCGTTAAACTGAGCAAGAACTATCTAATGCCAATTCTGGTTCTGAAATCGAAAATAATTGTACAGATAAAGATGGAGATGAAACATCTTGTGATTTTTTTTCTTCAGTTGTGATGAAACACAACTATATAACACTTACATCATATCAAGGTAAAAGGAACAAAAACATAATTTTATTATGTACACTCCATTCATCAGTTGAATTTGAATGTAATGAAAAGAAGGTTTCTGATGTAATACAGTTTTACAATTCTACAAAATTTGGGATAAATGGCAAGAAAGTACTCCGTGAAAGCACCATCACGCTGTTGGCTAGTACATGTATTCTACAATATTTTGGACTTAGCAAGCATAAATGTGTGGATTCTGTATAAGGAAGTTACAAAAGAAAATATCAGCAGAAGGGATTTTCTATTGCGTTTGGCAGAAGAACTAAGAGAAGAATATATATCTAGTAAAAACAAATTTGTTCTCTCTTCAAGTAGCTTTGTGAATGGACAAGATTCAATAGAATTTAAAAAAAAAAAAAAAGTCAAGTAAGGAAATGCAAAGGAAAAAACTTCTAATATTTGCGACAACCGTAATAAATATGTATGCGGATATTATACAAAAAAAAATCAGAAAGATAAGTGTGTGTGCTAATTGCTGCACTGACTAATATATTATCTGTAAATAAAATATTTCTATACATTTCTATTTCTATGTACTCTTTATAGCAAAAAGTTTGTTTAAAATACTTTAATATTTGGATTAAAAACCACTTTCTTTGGAAAAATTCGTGTAAATATTTATACATTTTATTTTCTGTGTTTCTGAAATGTAAGCTATCGAAAATGAAAATATTTGAATGCTTGTTTATTATTTGACTACATACCTGCAAAGTCTCTATATTCTTTAAAATAAACTGTAGCTGTCATAATTTGCATTATTTTAATTTCTTTTTAACAAATATATTATATCATATAGAAAAATATGCAGATATCTTATCAAGGGGTCAAAATGACACCCGCCGTAATTCTAGTGTTAAAATTAACCATTCTAGATTTTACGCTCTTGCCTTAAATTCATCTGTTCTCCCAAATTCGAGGTCTTTCCATGTTACATAAACACTTAAAGAAGATACCTCTTGTCCAATCAAAAATAATTATAAACCAAAACTTTTCTAACTCGAACTCAAACCTTTGGCACCCTCCCTTCTTCCTTTGAATTATAGCATCCCTTTTTGCTAACTCTTTCCTCCTGGCAGGATGCTTTGCTGCTATGCTTACTTATATAGCATGTCGTGCCAGTTTAAAACTTGTGTACATGGAAATTATTGTAGTCAAATATGATTTAAAAATATTTTGCCAGCCATAGAGATGATTTGAGATGTGTAAAAATAAAGATGGTTATTCTTCAATTAAGTTTTATCAACATCTTATTCCTGCCTCTTCCACCCAGCCATGTCTACATTTCAACCCCCACAACTTCCTACAGACCACTAAGTTCATAATATCATCAAAGCCTTAGCAGACAAAAAAGCACCAGGTCCCGATGGCATAGATAATACCATTGGTAAAGAAACTCACAAAGAATTGACAGGTTCGTTTCCAAAACTATGCTCAGCCTGTTGGCAACTTGACCACTTCCTTAGAAGCATGAAACTAGGGAAATTGCACTCTTTCACACGCAGGGAAAAGACCCATCAGACCCGGCATCAGATAGGCCTATAAGACTTCAATCGGCAAGATTTTAGAAAAAGTAATTCTACAATGCCTTAATTTCCACATGTACAGGAACAAGTCTATAAACGAAAAACAATATGGCTTCTACGCAGGAAAGTCCACAGACAATGCCTTAAAACAACTGCTAGATAACATAGAGCAGAACAAAGACAACAATTTGGACACACTGGTTATTACGTTGGACATGAAAGGGGCATCTGACTCATTGTGGTGGCCAGATGTAGTTGAATGCTTAGACATTATCAAATGCTCAAAGGAAATCCTGAAAATGCTCAAAGGAAATCTTGAATCTTATATGCAACTACTTGCAGGATCGTTGGATACAGGTTACAACGAACAATGATGTACTCAAAGTCAAGTTGGAAAGAGGCTGTCCCCAGGGTTCCTGCTTGGGACCTACACTTTGGAATCTTGTAGGGAACACAGCCTTTGCGCTCTATGATCAACAGCAAGGAGTGGGTATCCAGGCGTACGCGGACGACTTTTTATTGGTCATTTCTGGTAGCACGGACATTAGGTTAAAGGCACAAAATGCAATCAATACTTTTGCAAGCTGGGAAAATCAGCACAAATTAAATAGCTCAGCAGATAAAACTAAACAACTGTTTATATGTAGGCATGGAGTGCGAAATAGGAATCCAAAGCTAAATGGAGTCTCTATAAAAGACGTCACTGACCTTAAATATCTAGGTATTATAATTAAGAATAGGCTTTCCTGGGTACCTCATATTAAAGAGCTTAAGCAGAAAATAAATCAGCTGAGTAATTCAATGGTTAAACCAACAAGACCTCATTGGGGGCACTTCAATCACTATGCTCAAAAGCTGGTACAGAACAATCTCAGAAAAGATCATATTATATGGGGCTGGGCTGCCATACGGGAAAGGAAGCTTACTGCCCATATGAGGAGGCAGCTTCTCACCATCCAATTAATGCAACTTTTGATCATATGCAAAAGTTAAAGAACATCCCCAACTGCGGCACTGCAAGTGCTGGCGGGTATCCCTCCACTGGACCTAGTGGAGAGAGAATCACTATTAGTAAGGACATTGCACCTGGAAAATAATGTCTCTGTGGCAAGACATTCTACTACACAGACTATGAGAAGCGCAAGCCAATCATGCTTGGACACCCTGCAGATACAGATTTATCACACACAATACACATGCAATACACCTCGACAAATGAGAAAGCATTAGCTATTTAGACAGATGGCTCAAAGGCGAAGAAAAGCACAGGCTGCACCTACTGTGTACTCCAAGAAGGAGAAGTGGTTAACTTGGGAAAGACGACTGGCAGACAAAAATACCGGCTTTCAAGCAGAGCTTCTTGCATTAAAAGCAGCCATCAATTTGGCAAAATATCAAATAGGAATAAAGGTCAATATATATAGTGACTCTGCCTCAAGTTTGGAGTCCATCCGAGGGCCCAAGACAAGGAGTCCTTTGGTTAAAGATATTCAGAAAATTCCTCTAAGTATCCCTCCAGATGACAGACCTATCCTGATCTGGGTTCCAGCTCATGTAGGTATTACTGGCAACGAAGTTCTTTCCGAAAGTTACATGCTCAGTTAATACATACAGCGGAGCACAAACTCAATTCTATACTGGCCATGGTCCCTTCCCACATTATCTTAAGAGACTTGGCAAATGAGCATCACAATTGTGTGAATGTGGTGTGGTAGGTGATGCAGATCACTTCCTCTTCAGCTACCCACAAACTGATAAACTGCATTTAAAAATGGCAAGCAGTGAAGACTGGCCCCAATGGGCGGAGAATACCTGTGGCAACAAGCAAATGAAAGCTAAAATAGAGGAGGTGATCAGGCTATGCTCAGCAAGGTACTAAGAAATTCTCCCCCTCCCTTGAGAATTGTATCTCCACAGCATAATTTTAATAGCAACTGAAAATACTACAACTGAAAATCAACACTAGAAAAGAATAGTAACAGGACTGTAAGAGCAAAACTATTGTAATGTAAGCATATTACTATCCAGTTTGTATGTACTTGATAAAAATAATATTGCAAAGCAGTTAAAATGACAATGAAAATTCAGTCAATGTGTAAATGAATTACAAGTTTACTTTGATTATATCAATAAAAGTATTGTAAATATGAATTCAGATAATGTTTAAATGTGCACATAACTGTCATGATTTTATGTAACTATCATATGTAACTGGTACAAGACAATGTTTGGAATTAACATATCTATGCTTATACACAGGCCTTGTATGCTCATGCAATATTTATATTTATATTTTTATACGGGAAGAAATATTCCCTTCTGCCAGGATGACTATTAACACTGTAAAGACTTTTACAACAAAGTCAGGTCAGTGGTTATCTCAAGTGGCGCTCAGCCATGTCTACAGCCACAGGTTAAAGTACCAGATTCACACTGCACACTTAAAATATTACATGTATACACACACACACACACATTCATGCTTACATGCATACATGAACATATACATCCCATTCATACATACATACATACATTTCTGCATTCAGTCCTGATAACAGAACAGTACCTTATTTTTAAAAATTTTGAAAGGATATGCAAAAACTTAAAATTGTGCAATGAGCAAAATGCTGTAATTGACCACAAGAAATGCATGAGCACTATGGCTCCCAAAGGGTGCAAGTCCAATTTGCGAGACTTTCGACTAATGCTAGAAATCAATCATTTACATAAGGCCATCTGCAGTTGGTGGAAAAGTTAGGTGACTATAGCTTTAAAAATTAATTTCAGAGAGTATCATGAAATTGAACCACTTCCCACTGAATAATTCACTGCAAACAAGGTTATGCTTATCCAATAATTGTTTAACAGCACTCCATGAAGTAAAGCTAGTCATTATCAGCATTTATTATGCTGATGCTGTTTCTTAGTTTGACAAGAAAGAAGATTCTTTAGAAGTACTAAACCATTTTTCATGTCCATCTCACTGAACTCAATCACTTTCACAAGTTGAGCTGCTATACTGAATTTTTGATTTTCTGAATGAAGTACTTATTACTATTTTGGCTACTCATTTTCTTGTATTTTTTCTTTTTTTGAGGAGGAGTAATGTTTTCTTATCACCTGGGTTATTATTTCTTTTTGAGTTAGTTGCAAGTCAACTGGGAGTAAAGCATTTCATGCTGGTTGGTTGACGCATTGTCTTGAGTATTTATAGATCTCAAATACTTTTGAGCACCGGGAAATGAGATGTTATTGTGTGGCTGTGCATTGGTGACAACTTTTTTTTACTTCTGAATATGATATTTTGTACCTGCTTCTTAGATTTTCACATACAAGAACACTTACAGATACTTGTTATTTGAAAATGGTTTACACATAGAGGTATAGAGACATTTTCACTGTCATGGCTCATGGCAGAATAACAGACAGGTGTGGGATTATAGCACAAAAAAGCACAGCAGGGAGGTTTAGAAGGACCAAAGTGCAGACACTAGAGGCATCATAAAGGATTTGCCTAGATCTGTAGGTTGCAATGTATGGCCTAACTGCTGCATTTAATTATCCTGCTTTTATGCATCAGACAACTTTACAATAAAAAATGAATAACTGAACATTTTGGATACTTACTTAAGGAAATCTTATCTAGGCTTTACACTAATCATAAACGATTCTACAACAGGATAAATCTACCAACTTCATATATTTAAACATAAGTACTGTTAGTTTTAAAAATACCTCCAAAATAACAACTTATTATGAAGTACATGTGCTTTTCATTCTATTTTGCATTGCCAAATATATCATATATAATTAGAAGAAAAGAATAAATGTACCAAACCTGGATTATCCAACATGTAATCATAATCCTTTCTTGAGTCATCATCTTTTAGAATCTAAAAAATGCAAGGAAAAATTCATATTTGTACCTCATATGAGTAAAGATCAATAATAATTTACATAAAAAATTACCTCATACGCAGTTGCGATTAAGGTAAATTTTTCAGCTGCTTTCTTTTTACTGTCCTAGAAAAGAAATTTAAAATCAGTTCACTTATATATTCAGTATATGTTCTATGCTACTAATAGTGATTTAAACAAAGAAATAACTCACTGGACTTTTATGCATGTCTGGATGGTACTTCTTTGCCAGCTGGCGATACACCTTTCCAATATCAGTCTATAAAATATATTTCATTAGTCTGGGAGACCAAAATACAACATTACAAAATTAAAATACATAAATATCTCTCACTTCCTAATTTTTGTTTGATTCTATCCAAACTTATTTATATAATTAATATTTAAATGAATTTAAACAAAACTATTTCATATAATTGACAAAGTTAAATAAAGCTTACTTATAATGTGTTTGAAAGTTACCCCATCACCTTGATTTGCTTCCAGAAGAAAGTTTTTGTGCTTTACATAAGCAAAGCAAGGAGGGATGTCCTTGCTTTGCTTTCTCATTCTAGAAGGCCAGTTGACAAAATTCAACCTGTATTTTTCATGTCTTGAGAGCACATTTTAGAACATATATTCGATTTATATGTAGCATAACTGTAGCACATATATTTTAACACAGAAATCAGACTTTTCCTGAAATAACATAAGGGCTTTTTGCAATACTTCAATTTCATGCCTTAAATTATGCTTAAATACCAAATTTTACAAAATTAATTTATTAAGTTTTACATTTATTTACTTCTCAAAGTCAGCATTTATCTTCAGCATGGTGCTAAAAATAATATCATTATCAAACAATTAAAACTTAGCTTATTAATTTTACATTTTTATTGCAATATCTTATTATTTGCAGATAAAAAAAAATTATTCCCCCACCCTGAAAAAAAAGTTAGAAGCTTATTTTAGAACTGAACTTCAGCATTTCTTTATCAGAACAGCCCCATATTAAGTCAAGTCTTTTACAACATTTGAAATTTGCATGTTACCCATTTGGTAATTAGGCTAGCCAATTTTGGTGACAAAGGATGGTAGCTACTTTAACAAGAAAATACCAGATATTCCTTTGAAATTTCCTTTATTGGAGAATAAAATTTGATATTTAAAATCATCTGCCATATTCAACATGATGATTGGGATTTTAGTATTTAGTGAGTCATCAGTGGATAACCATAAAAAATATCATGTTAAATTAGCTATCAAATAAATGTCTTCACAGAAAATTTTCTTTAAGTTTCAGATTTTCCAAAATAAATAATTTATCAAATGAATTCATACACCACTTAAAGTAAAATTCTATGGGAGAAAAGGTGAACAGTGAATATAGATTTAACTCATGGCAATCATTTACATAAGAAAACCACGTATGAAAATGATAGCTATTTTTCAGAAAATAATTAAAAACAATAATCCTGCAATCTGAAAACTTCTGCAGTCTAACATTTCAAAGAAAAGTTTACCATAAAAATATTAAATATATATATATACAAAATTATACAAACAGTTTGGTTCTCTTCTTAAATAAAACCATAATTTCACTCATAAAAATAAATTTTTAAAGTTGCTCAACAAAATTTGAAATTGAACCGAAAGGAATTTTAGTTTTAAAAGGCCCTAGCATTTGTTTCGGCACTTCTAATCCAAAGTATAAAACGCTGCGAAGAAGAGAATGTCAAAATATATCAAAAAATTAAATTGTCATTATTCTGAATGTACATAACTAGTGATAAAAGATGATTTAGAAAGTTTGCAGTCCATTTATATAGATTTCTACATAGTGTATTAGAAGAATAGCATATGTCATCTGAAATATATTTTTCAGATGAATAGATTTTTCTTAATACTTATGGTTTGAAATAACATTTGTTGCAAAATGCCCATAGTTTAAGCACATAAAATAACTTCTTAAGTGATTCACTTTTGTAAGCAGATGAGCACTGCACCTTTATAATGCTGAATACACATTTATTTGGCTTTGTTGTTTTGAACAGCTCATATTAATTATACCTCACAATACCAAGAAGCCTGATATCCTTAATTTTGGGGGAAATAATCCTTACACTAGTAGGCTTATAGTAACTGCTTAGCTTAAAATTGTTTCTGGTATTAAGCTGAAATCTGCATATGAACATCTGATTTCAACTTCTTTTTAACTTATTTTTAAGACAAGGTGCGCGAGGTATTTGAGGTCACAAACTTAGCAAGCCACAACCTTTTATTATTTCTTTTTATTATTTCTCTTTAACAACACCGATATGACATCTCTCTGTGTTAGCTCCAACATGGCAGCATCAAATGTAACATAGGTGATAAAAAGACATGCTATTCTCGTTGTCTTAGCTGCCAACTACAGCTATTCAAAGAATGCCACCTTCTCAGATGAGGACTTTTATCAATCTCATAAAATGAACAAGAGAAATAACACATGGCCCTTCATGACACCAGTTGAAGTCCCCACAGTTATGCACACCACCCCATCATCTGTGATGGTCTTGAATGTGGCGAGCAACAAGGGCCATGAAATGCCATTTCACTCCTTACAAAGGGCTTAAAGATCAATGTCGCTGCCTACAATGAGACACTAGACACGCTTGTCAATCCCTAAGTAAAGGCCCAGGGAAGACATTAAGCATTTCAGTGGGACCCTGCTCATTTCCAAACAGCTTATGCAATTCAGAAGTGACCAGCCGAGAATTTTCATGATCATGTAACCTCAGAATATGGCTTTCTACCTTTTCAGATTTCAGCCCCCTGCACTACTATGGCTGGAGCTTTGTTGACAGAAAGACCAACAGGCAGCCTCACAATACCAAGAAGTTGTTGAAGGCTGCCATTGTGGATGTTATGGCCAATGTAAATAAGGATCACCTGATCCTGGCATACAGTTAATTCTGAGGTTGCACCAAAGATACCATCAAAGTTGAAGGTGATTTTATTGAATGAGATTTTACTACAAGTGTAAAAAGACACATATGAAATTCTGTGGCAATATACCTGATTTTCTTATAAGAATATTTTTCTTCAAACCATCGTTTTCTTCTCAAATACATCATGCCCCTGCATACATACATATATATTTCACTTCTTAAAAAAACTTTTATTGTAAATTCTTAGACTGTATTTTGAGATGTACAAAATTTTTCAAAGAATCATTAACAAATTTTTATTTAACATCCCCAAATTTCCAACTGCATTTGAAAAACACCAAGAAAAAAGTGTAACTAAAATACCTGAATCTATTAAAATATTCAAGCAATTTAGTTATTATACTTATTACATTTGCTTTTGTTGTTATAGAATGCAATCTTCAATTACCAAAAATCAAAAACTCGGACTAAAATGCACTAAAAAAATTTTCACTCTTTCTAACAAATGTATAAAGAATTTGAAAATAAGATGCAGAAGATATGTTTTTGGATGAAAACATTTCTTTTGAATTTAATCAATTATCATTTTTTTAAAAATAATGTTTTTAATATAATTCAATTAAAAAACTGCTAGTTTATGGCAATGTTTAATTGCTATTATTATTAACAGATTTAATATGTAATACAAATACAAAATACTGTAATACAAAAGTGAAACCACTAAATTTTATTGAAAAGTGAAACCTTTATAAGATGCATCACCTGAATAGTTTGTTTAAAAAAAAAAAAAAAAAAAAAAGTCTAGATTTGTTATCATTATTGATTTTAAAAGTTTACCAACTCTAAAATAAGTAACAAATATTTTTCCTGTTTCAATTTATATTTAGCTCCAACAATTTTGAATAAAAATTTAATCTTTTGGAAATGTGCCGAAAAAATATTTCTTTTAAAATGGTGTAGCTTATCATCCAAACAAAATTTGAAAAACTGATAAAGAAACTTATTAATAAATGAAAAAACTCTATGAACTTTAGTAGGATTAACTATTGATTTCAGATAAAGCCAAAAAAGAGAACATAATTAAAAACGGAATAATATTAGATATAAACCCATTCCAATTAACATCACAGAACTAAAATTCCATGTGCTACTTTTTGAAGCACATTTGCACGCAATTTTTAAGAAACCTCGTACTTGGCATAATTTTAGGCATAGAATCAAAACATGGAAATACAGAGAGTGTTCACACATTTTTGTAACGATTTTGATTTTTTGCATGAATTTAAATATTAATATTAAAATACAAACATGACTGGCATCAAATTAGAATAAGTTTGATTATTGTCTGGAGTATTAAAAATATTTTCTTTAAAATGTCGTTGAAAAATAAAGAATGGATCAAAGGCTATATTTTTGTGCTGTCAGAAGAGAAATACTCTTATTCAATTATTAAAAAAAGATGTGAAAAGCATGGTCTTAATATTTCTACGAGTAAGAGACACAATTAATATGAAAGGAAAGAAATGTCAAAGTTTACATCAGACTAGGGAAAAGGAAAAGGCAAAAAATACACACCCAACAGAAGCACATACAGCTCTTATTAAATCTAAAGTTGCATCTCATGTTTTAAAGCCCCCCCCCCCAAAGAGCTATTGCAAAATCTTTAAATATCTCTGCAGGAATTGCGAACAAAATTATAAAATCTAATTTAAAGCTAATGAAAAAAGAAAAAAAAAAAAAAAAAAATTTCATCACTAGCTCCGAAACACATTTCTCAGCATAAGACTATAAGCAGAGTGCTCTATGAAAATTATTTGGCAGGTAAAAAATGGAAATATATAGTTACAATTGACAAGTCTTTGATTTACACTGACTACCAATAAGTATTTGGACACCTGTGATAGAAAAGAAAAACTAACTTTATTCAAAATCAATAGTTGGTAGAGACTCCACGAGAGGTAATTACAGCGTGGACCCTCCGGGGCATACTTTCCACAAGTCTTTGTATGACAGCTAGTGGTATTTTCTTCCACTCGGCTTGGAGAAGACATAGAAGTTCCTTCACCGATTTTGCACGGGTAGTGCACCTCTGAATTTGGCGATGCAACTCGTCCCAGAGGTTCTCGATAGGATTCAGGTCTGGACTCTGGACAGGCCAGTCCATTCGATGAACTCCATTGGCACCATACCAAGCCTTGGTTAATGTCGAAACATGACAACTGACATTGTCGTCCTGAAAGTAACAGTGGTCCAACCCGTAAAACTGCCACAACATAGGAAGCACATTGTCATCCAAAATGGTGCAGTAGGCATCGGAGTTGAGCTTACCATGAATGGGGACCAAGGGTCC